CTGCTGTGGACGTACAGGTGGAGTGTTCGAGGAAACCTGCTCCTCGTCCTGCACTTCAGATTGCAGAGCCTTAAAATCATTTGCATAAAACAACATGGACTACTTTTGTTGCTGAAGGCGGTGGGGAAATGAGCGTGGGGAGGGTGCAGGTGGGGAGGGGCGGTGGTTAGGTGCAGCTGTTCTACGACTCTGACGAACAGCCTTAACGAGATTAGTTTATTGGGTTGGATGTCTTGTGACTGCGCAAAGTGCTCGTCTCCAGGGACGAAGGAGGACTGGATGGATGCATGGGGATGTAGATGGATGGATACAGATAGATAGACAGATGGTAGATAGATTATCTTCTGACAGTTGCATGCCTCTGGTTGTGTTTCAGACCAGAGATGACTGTTTCACGGACTGAATGGGTAAAATAATCCATCCCAGGCACTTCTCACTGTGTGTAACTTCACCGGCAGGCTGACGCTGGAAGGCTCTGATTCCCACATTTTGCTGGAATTCCTGAGAAGCGGCCTCTTTTCCTCCTGGTAACTCGAGCTGGTAATGTTGAACTCTGTGAGCAGCATGCTAATGATCAGCGTCCGATGACTGAGAGGAAATCACAGATTAGGGTCTAGATGAGTCTACTTTGTGGGTTAGACTGCTTGATTTTTACGAGATAAAGCTTTAAGTTAAATGAGCTGTAGCTTGCGTCTCTGACTGTGGGTGTTTCTGTGTCTAAGCTTGTGTTGAGTTTACCGAAGAGCTCAAGTTTGGCATCAGGACAGCCCCAGGTGTCAGGTGAAGCTGTGGTTCCCAAAGTCCACCTCAGGACTTTGTACCATAAGAACAAACTTCATTGTGTTCGTTGTGTTCAGGTCTCTCTTGTAAATGAGTCCCTGAGGCTCAATGGGATTAACCTGTCTAAATAAAGGTTGAATGAATGTTGTATGTTTACATAAAATGACAGCTATAGTACGAACAATTTCTACCAACTTGAAGCTTAATTATCACTTGCTGTCAAAAGGTGAAGACAATGTTTTTACACGTGTCTGTGTGTGTTTGTGATGAAACCGAAGGTGCTCGTTGGATAGTCATCTACAAAATAACTGACTTTAGGTGTCAATTCAAGATGGCTGCCACAGCTATTCACTATTAGTCAACACAACAATGGAGGTGGAGGCCTCCGTGTCCAACTGTCCCCCTCTTACCATGTTGTTATTGTTAGTATCGCTCAGCCCTCTGCGAATAGCAAGCAGCCATCAGAGCACTAGCGATCAGTCGTTAGGCTGATGGTCCTCCATCATGCGAACAGCTGGTTCTGGGTGTAAACTGGTTGATTCACTGCTGGTTATGAGACTGAGTTTACTGCAGCTCCTCAGACTGACAAAGTCTTTTTGGATAAAAGACGAAACGTTTCGACAATTTTATTTTTATTTGTTGCATCCATCCAGAGGACCTGACTGAACTTTGTGAACCAACACAACAATGAGCTGAACTCTGCTGTGGTGGTCGGTGAGAGTCATCCACTCTGAGCGCAGTCTCTCATGAGATTGAGGACATCGTTTTTCATTTTTGATGAAAACGCCGTCATCTCTCAGCACGAGAGTCTTAGTGGTAGGAAGGCGCCGGGCGTTCTTTCAGCGACTGTAGTACCTTGACAGTTTTTATGCTGTGATGCGTTCACAAACACTTCTGAAAATCCGAAAGCACGCTGCGTTTACTGTGCTTTCACAGAATAATCTGTGAAATGTTTATATTAATCTGACAGAAATTAAGAACAGAACAACAGCCTGTCCTCTCTGATGCATCACACTTTTATTATTAGTGTGAAAGCAGCTGAGCTAATACTTGTAGACTACTTCTTTACAACATGTACGCACACTGACTTAAACGCAAGATACTTTATTTACTGTGTTTTCCTTTAAAAACGGATTATTTTGTACTTTTGTAAAATTTGGTGGAGGAGGATGACTCGCTGTGGGAACCACTGAAAAGAGAAAAGCTGAAAGTCGGACAGATTGTAGATCATGAGAATGACCTTGAGATGATCTCCAGAAACTCGTTGTGATGAAGATGATCGCGGGCAGAGTGTTTTAGGAGATGAAGCCAGTGTTCATGAACGGAGGCAGAAAAGCTGTCGCTATGTTTAAATGGCTTATCGACAATGTTTGCTTGAACCAGTCGTAGTCGGGGTCACTGTTTTATTTAGCAAGCTGAACCTTTGACTTGACTTGAGCTGATTGTCTGAACTGGAATAAATGTAGGGCGGCACGGTGGCTCAGTTGGTAGAGCTGACGCCTCTTAGTGATAAGGTCGCTGGTTCAAATCCCGGCCGGTGGCCATTCAGGGTGGAGTTTGCATGTTCTCTCCGTGCTACGTGGGTTTTCTTCAGGTACTCCAGTTTCCTCCCACAGACCAAAAACATGCATGTTAGGCTGATTGGTAACTCTAAATTGTCTCTAGGGTTGTTTGTCTCTATGTGTCTCTGTGATGGACTGGAGACCTGTCCCAGGTGTCCCCCGCCTCTCGAACAGTGATTACTGGACATGGACACCAGTGACCCCCACAACCTGAAAGAAAAGAGTGGGTAAAGATAATGGATGGATGGAAATGAATGTAAATTAGCTAAAGGTAATATTTTGCCAGCGCCTTCAGAATCCCTGAAACTGGACTTGAGGTGAGGAGACCCTCCAGTTCCCACCCTTATCTTTGACAGTGGGACGTTCACGTCTCATTTAACCCTCTGGGACCACAGATAAGCAGTCAGATCTCTTTCCCAGCATCAGAAACCCCCCTGTTGTTTGAACAGGTCAGCGGCTGACGTAAGGCTTCTGGCCAATTAGAGATAATACACTGGAAAGTGCACACAGGTGCCTCTTTCCATCAGCACCTGTAATTACACTGGAGCAGGTGGCAACAACGTCCCCTCACCCCAGAGGCCGGCGCAGCTCAGGGTGTGCAGGTTAGAACGGCAGGAACAAAAGACCTCACGTGGAGATGAATGAAATGAGCATTTGATTAACGGCTGTCTTTTGTCGCAGACGACGACTGCTAACCTCGCTCTCCGGCTCGCTGCAAGCTGGTTGCAGCTTTCCACGTTGAGCTGCATGCAAAACAAACTCGCCGAGCCCTTCAAGAGAGCTGAGCCTCGTAATCCATCACAGAAAACACAAAGCTGGGATTTGGCTCTTTTTTGTTTTAGTTAGCGTAAATCGCTTGTTTATCTCTGTCTGTTTCATACTCTGCTGAACTCGTGAGAACATATTTGTTTGTGCATCTTTACGATTTATTGTTCTATTTTTTTCTTCCCCTCTTCTTTTTTTTTTGTAAACCTGCAGAGTTTGTGTTTTTAGAGGATTATGCTGAGACGTCTAAAGTGTTTTTATTGTGAGAACACTCATGAAGCATTCTCACTATTGTCATCCATTTTTCTTCCGTATGTTTTTCTGCGTGTTTCTCGTCCAGCAGTTTTCAAGCTATTTCAACAATTCATAAATCAAAACGTTCAGCTCTTCCAGGATAAGGGTGCTATGACTTTTGGTATTGGTACAACTTTAGCTTTTTGAAATATTTAGCCTTTTCTGACACTTTTTTCTCACTGAAAATGAATTGAGCTCATCCTTCAAATCTTTAGATCTGTTTACAAACTTCTACTGCTGCTTTCATATTTTGTTCTGGTTCAGCTTCCTTGTCCAAATTTAAATGTTTTTTTCAGCTACCTTCAGCTAATTTCAGCTGTTTTGTGCTCCTTTCAGCTTTATCCTGCTAACTACAACGTTTTTGTGTTTCTTCTAACTTGTTTCTGCTAATTTCAGCTTGTTATGCTATTTCAGCTAATATTTAGCTTTTTATGTTAATTTTAGCTTTTTCAGCTAATTCCACATTTTTTGCACCGTTTCAGCTTTTTTCAGTATAATTAATCAAAAATGTGTTCTCTCCACTTCCTTCTGGTAATTTAAGCTTCTTTTTGCCTTTTTAGCTACTTTTCAGCTGTTTTTTCTTTTGCAAATTTGAGCTTTTTTCAGAAAATGTCCACTTTTTGTGCTCATTTCTGCTTCTTTCAGAGCATACGTGTTATTTCTGCTTTCTTCTGCTAATTTAAGCTTGTTCTAAAATTTCAGCAACTTTTTTTTTTTTAGCATTTTTTAGCTAATTTCAGCTGTTTTCAGATAAATTGAAGTTTTGGGACGGTGATTTCTGCTACTTTCAGCTTATTAACTTATTTCTGCTCATTTCAGCTTTTTTTTGATAGTTTCAGCATTTTTTTGCTACTATTTAGCTATTCAGCTACTATGCTAATTTTTTTTTGCCTTTTCATCTAATTCCACTCTTTTTTTTTTTAGCTCATTTCAGCTCTTTATGCTTCTTTCTGGTTGTTTAAGCTTCTTTTTTCCCCACTACCTTTTCAGCTACTTTTCATCTGGGTTTTTTATTGTTGCAAATTTAAGCTTTTTTAGTTAATTTCCTAATTTTTGTTCTCATTTCTGCTTATTTAAACCTAATACAGCAAATATTTGTTCTTTCGGCTTTCTTCTGCTAACTTAGGCCTGTTCTTCCATTTCAGCTACACATCTGCACGTTTTTAACAAATTTCAGCTGTTTTTATGCTAATTCTTCAGCAATAAGCATTCACACTTGATTTTTGCAGGAAATGCAATTTCTCTTTTTTTCCATCTCAGAGCAGCACATCAGCTCAGCCATCTGCACAATCTCTGAGGTGTTCTATTTAGTTTCGTAGGCATCTGTGTGAGAGTACACACTGACCCTGTTTCTGAAAGCACTGGAACAGAACTTTATTTTGCTAAGTGGATACTTTTAACGTCCTGCAAACACGCTGAATCAGACCTGCGCTGTTGCATCATGGCCGTGTTGATTTTTGAGACAGAGTCCACTTGTTTGCCCCACATATGCCAAACGCGCAGACGAAAAACAAACATTTTGAACGTGTGTGTGTGTGGAGCTGGAGCAGAGAGGTAGGTGCCCGCTGTTAATGTAGAGTTGTGTGTTTGTGTATCCAGGGCCAGGAGCATGACTGAGCAGCAGGAGCAGGGTGAAGTAACAGGCCTCCTCTCATCGCACGACCTGGAGCCCTCCAAAGACGACGACACGCACGGCCACTTCAGGCAAATCACACACACACACAACACGCCATCTGTATCCTGTGCACGGTCATGGGTCACAGCCTGGGGGAGATTTATTTTCACAGCTCTTATTTTGTTCTGTATTTGATGTCACACAATGGTCCGACATGCACACAAAGAGGCAGCAAACTGAGACTCACAAAGAATGTTTCTGTCTCCCCCTGTGAGGCCCTCAGAGGAGGTTTACTGTAAACGTTTGCACATCGTTGTGCATTAATCAGTCATAAATGATTTTATTACATTACAGCGTTTCTTCACAGGCTCCTCTCTGTCCCCAAACAGAGAGGAGCCTGTTATATAAGAGGGATTGGAGGCAGGAGTGATGGTAATCCTGGGGAATCTGTCCTGGATGGGACTGAGCGCTGAAGCGTGCTCCGTTAGTGAACTCTGAATGAGAGAGAATGAAACACATTGTGCGCTCGTCACTTTTGATCTTGCAGAGCTCAGTAAGGAGCGTTCATCCTGTACTTCTGTATGTGGGTCTGCACGGTGCTGCAGTGGTTGATGCTGGTGCCTCACAGTCAGCAGGTGCTTTTCTTTGTTTCCTCTCACTTATTTTATATGATTAATCCTACACTTTACAGCGTTGGCTTTTCAAATGAGATGTGGTCGTTAATGAGGAAGAGAAACTATTTAACGCCCCAAAATAAAAGGTGGGCGATGATGTTTTTGCATGCGTCTGTGTGTATCTGTTAGCAAAATTTCAATGAAACTTTCAGACTGCAGTTATTCGGTGTACATCTACAGCGGATTAACTTTGGAATCAACTCATTTCAAGACGGCTGATCGACTTTAGCCAACACAAAAATAGCTAAATCTCAGCCAGTTGTACAGATCTTGAGCTAAACTGGATGTGGTAGTAGCTTAGAGTCCTCCCTAAAACATACTTTAAATGTGAAAAGATCACTTGAAATGATGTGAGACTGCATGTCAGAATCAGCTTTGTCATTGCACCGAAGCGCAACAAAATGACAATTCAGTACAGCCTGTCCAAGAGAAACATCAACAGACATGGGGAGACGGAGGTGACTGAGGCCGCCGACCTCGAGAGGCGCGGCCTTTTTTCAGATAAGGAAAAAGAAACACAAGGGGGAGTGGAGGTGTAAAAAAAAAATCAAATCTCACTCTGTGTCCTAGACAGGACACTGTGAAAGTTGCAACAAAAATGGCCTCAGCACATGAAACAGCAACATACTGATGACATCATATGCATGAGGAGACCGACGAGGGAGTGGGTTGTCTGTGGAGACTAGCAGAAAGTTCCACAGTCCTGATAAAGATGGCACAGTGTCTTTCAGCCGGCTCAACTCTGACACAGAGCCCCAGATGTTCTCGGGAGCGGAGTGATGGGGGGGGGGAGTAGAGTTTCTCGTTCACATAAACAACCAGGAGAAGTTGAGATAGCTGCCAATTCAAGGCCGAGTGGAGAAGCCAAATTCAAATAACACACTTATTTTGGGTCAGGCAGCCTCTGCTTGAATTTCCATGTCTGCCTTCATAGTTCTGCTGGTACGTCTCACTGGCAATTACAAACAGCCAAATTTGTGGTCACACCACCGGACCGAGCTTGTAGCCTTCTCCAAGGTTGAGTTCTTCCCGCCAGTGAGTCCCAGGAGCTTCTCAGAAATCACTTCTCGCTTATGGCTCAGCTCATGCAACGTCTGAGTCTGAGAGCTTACTGCTCGGTACATTCCTTCATACAAGGCAGGCAGCCTAACAATTGCCAGAACCACTGCTGCCGTCTTTCGAATTTGTCGAAATGCCAGATTCCCGCCAACACCAAAAAGCAGAAATCCAGTTATCATGAATCTAATTATATAAGTGTCTTCTACTTCCTGAACGGACAATACAGACAGACACATCATCTTCCATTGGCCCCAGGAATCCATTGCTTTCAGCTGCGAGTGTGCCTTCAGGGCATGAGGGCTCTCCTTCACTCTGTCTTCTCGTTGAGAAAATTTTATCTATTGCGTTGAGGGACCAGCTGACCAGATCTATAATTTACTATTGTAGTGAGAGGCTTCAAAAGGAATTACAAGACAAAAAGCAAAGCAGGAGGGAGGCAGCAGGAGCAGGAGGGAAAATGGTCCGTCCTCGTCGAGAACAAGCAGGAAAAGCATGTGAAGTTATTTTCAAGATTTGACCAAAATGACTAACGCCATCATGTCTCAACATAAAATCAGTGCAGTTTAAAATTCTGCATGAAAGCAGCGGGTGATATGCCTTCCTTCAAACAGTTCCAGGTCCTTAACTTTGACTTTAACGATTTTCCTGCAGATTTACTGTATATATAAGCTGAAAGGAAAACATAAAGATGTGTCAAACCTTTCAACACAAACCTGTATTTTGACTTCAATGAAGACAAAAAAAAAAATCCCCATCAAGTTCTTCAAATATTCTGACCTCCAGATGAATTCAAAATGAAATGGTTGTTCATTAAAAACCTGCCAGTTCGAGCTCAAATTCAATGTTAAATGATAAATGGACTGCACTTATAGAACATCTTTCCATCACTCTACTCTCTACTCTGGAGCACTCTACTAGATCTGTACAAAGAATAATCAGAGTTTTATCACATTCATACTCTGATGGGACATATCGGAGGCAATGTTCACTGGCTTGCCTAGGGACACTTCAGCATGCGACTGCTGGTGGAATCGAACCCCCAACTCTCCAATTGAAGGACAGCGGCTCTAACCACTGTCACCCAATGCAGATAGATTAAAAAGCAACAAAACAAAATCGAAACAAAATCCTAAAATCTAAGTTAAGATGATACTCAGTCAAAGCATCAGTTAACGAACTGTCACTGCTCTTGTTTTCATTTCTCTCGTGGTTACAACACGTGTGATCCTGTACGTCTCTGTCGCAGTCAGTCCTGTCCTCTTCTGACTCTGACTCTGCTGCAGCACCGATGGGACGCGTCCACTTTCTAATTCTGGATTCAATTTGAGATTTTTTTTTTTTAAAGCTCATAATTAGTTTCATTATTCTGCCTCGCAGCCAAGGGCGCTGTGATTTTTGGACAAAAATACATGCATGTACACACGCACACGCATGTATGTTTGCAGAAGGCAACATTTTGCATTTTTTGTTCTCGAGGGAACACGCTGAGGTGTTTTTAATATATTTTTTGGTGGGGGTGTCTTTTTTTTCCTGAGCAGCTTATGATGTAAGAGTCGGGATCAAAGCTCGTTGTTTTGGTTCTGGATTGTTGTGTTATTGAGCGTTGATATATTTTGTCTGTACAACTCATAGTGTATAACGTGTGTAATGTGCTCTGCTGTCCTCAGAGTCGGCTGGCATTTAGAAAACAAACATATTTTAGCTCTGTTGCTGTGAGACAAGATTAAAAGAGCAGCTTTAGTGTTTTTTTTATGGGTTTACGCTGGATGAAAATAAATCTAAGGGGTCCTCTTACATGATTTTCAAATCCTTCAAGGAACATTAAATAAAAACATTTGACATTTTAGTTAAACTATTCATACCTGGTTTGTGAACTCATTTATAGCAACAAAATCCCCAAAACACCACATTCACAGCTCTCGTAAAAGCTGAGCAGTATGAGCAGAGCAGATGAAGACCTGGATCTTGCGGAAAAAGGAAGAGACAGATGGAGACAAGTGAGCCAGGCTGGTCCCCACAGGCCCGCCTGTGTTTTTAATAATCGCTCTCTTCTCTCCACCTGAGAGCGCTGAGCCACTGCGCAGCTATTTATATCCAGGAACTGGCAGGCAGGAGGAGCAGCACACATCCACTGTTGTTCAGAACCTGGTCACAAGATGAACGGCTCCGTTTTCCAGGAGGGGGGATTTTACATCTGGGTCAAGCATGGAATAATTAAATGTTGGGAAGGTTAAACGGAGGGTGGCTTTTAATTCCTCTAATGACCCGATTACTGCTGAAAATGAGTTTGATTATGGATTACGCTGGTCTGACCCTGCCCTCAAAAGGTTAACGCTGTTTGTTGGAAGTCTGAGCTCCAAAAACACTGATGGAGTTTTAATCACACGCTCCCTTATTTACACTTTTAAAGCAAAGAAATGAAAAGTATCAGGCTATTTGTATATTTATCAATGGACATATCAATGTTTCTAATTGAAAAGCAGCTAAACTGTATAACCTTTAAAACAAGCAGGTTTTGGTGTTTATTTTATTTTTATTTTACCTTTATTTAACCAGACATAAACACTAAGAATAAGTTTTTATTTACTGGCCTGGCAGCACCAACAATATTGTAGGGTCAAGGGATGGGAAATAATACAGTTAGGCAAAACAATAAAATAAAGTAGCCAATAACAAACAAGGAATCACAAATTACATTAACAACAGTTCATTGTCAAAGTTAAACGACGAGAGTACTAAGCATGAAAACATTTGCAAGTATCTTTAAAAACGGCTTTTAAACAGTTTTTGAAAGTAGAAACTGTGACAAGGGAGATAAGACTCAAAGTTTTTGAATTAGATTCCAGTCTGATGGAGCAGAGGCAAAGCCAGACTTGGTCCTTAGAGTTATTAACCACAAATACTGAGAGGATCTGGTGTTATACTTCGAAACTGGTGCTAGTTGCAGTAGATGAGTTAAAAATGGAGGTGAATAACCCATGAACATCTTATAAATGAGGGTAAACCAATGAATTTCACATCAAGTGTGTAGAGAAGGCCATTTAACAAGAGTAGAGGTGCAGTGATGTGTTCTATAAGGAGCGAGTGATAAGCTATTATTGTGATAGCTATAGTAATAGTTATGTCCAGTTTATGAAGTACATCCTTACAAGCATGTCTGTAAATTATTTCTCCATAATTCAACACAGGTAGAATGTTTTTTTTTTCAACAATAGTACGTTTTGCAGCCAATGTACATGAAGATTGATTTCTATATACCAGTAGATAACCAAGTCTCGCTTGAACCTTATACTGCAAAACATTAACATGATGTGAAAAGGACAGAACATCATAAGTTCAAATTCCCAAATATTTCT